TTTAGCGGTTTTGCTTAGGTTTAAACGATTGGAGTATTGTCAACTATTGGCACATTCGTTGTATATGGTGGAAAATGAAAAAATATGATTTTTACGATAAGTAATCGGGTCATATTTCTATAGATATGGACTTCCAAAGTTTAAAATTCTCTTACAAGGCGTTTATACTACTAAATCAACCCGATTTCAAACTTCTGAAACTACTGAACTAATGATTACAAAAATGTAATGATATTTAAAAAACATCATATTTCCTGAGATACAAAATTCCGCTGGTGCACTTGTATTTTTTCTCCAGCATTATAAAATTCTCAAAAGCAATATGGAGATATATTTAAAGCAGTTGAAGTCCTGATCTGTCCTATCGAAGAAGTTGAAACTTTCAAAGTTCGCTAAGTACTTTAGAATATCTTTATTGTGTTTAGTGCTGGACGAGATAATATGAGTATCATATTAAAGTTCAAAGAAATTAATTAGAGGATAAATTAAACATAGAGATTTGGATAAAGTCTTAAATCCGCAGCCAAACGCCGAACACTCACAAAAACTATTTTATTTATTTGCTTTGCGAAATGTAAAATTTGGTTGAAAAACGTATCCCAAAAGTACCAAAATTTGGGAGGTTCCGGTATACTTGTGCTATAACAAAATATGGACCGATATGGCTTATATTTGGTAGGAACATCTGGCATGTACTGAGACCCAAAATACCAAATTAGAGTCCATTGGAGTGGAAAAAGTGTACAAAATTCCAATTAAAATTATGGGGTTCCGTTATATAAGATCTGATGACCAACAATAGATAATAGGGCTTATAGTACGTTTACATTTAAACGGATTTCGTTAACCCAGTGGGTTTCAATTGTCATTTCCTTTGCATATATGTCAAATAAATCTTCATAAAAAGTTTAACCCGGTAAAAAGTTCTATAGATCTGGGCTTTAAGGAGTTGTTTGAGGTATTTAGCGCAGTGTGCTTGGAATCATTATTCTCTTGAAAGATAAAGTCCCGCGATATCCCCATTATGACGGCCCTTTGGTTCAAGTTTTGCTTGTTTATATAGTCCTTTGCTGCCATGACGCCATCAACAAAGATGAGTTTATCAACTCCAGCTACATACTACACACCCGTACCACCACTGAGCCGCCAACATGCTTTAATGTGGGAATGAGATTATAACGATATAAGCTTGGATTGTTCTCTCGCCAAATTTGTACGCGTCCATCCGATGACATTTTTATATTCAGTTTGGACTCATCCGTAAAAAGCAACTCTTTCCTGAAGTTATAGTCTTTATGTTGACGCTACTAAATGGTTTTCTAATAGCATTCCGACTTTTACAGCCTGTTTTTGTAATTTGTTCTGGCAATTACACGCATGATATAATTATTACAAGGTAATAGGGCATTTGCTTTTCGTTTGTTTTGTATTAATAAAATAATAAAATAAAAAAAAACGAATATTAAAAACCGTACCCTTGTGGAAATGGGCAGATCCATGATGGTGTATGCTGTGAAACCAGCTTTATGGGCAGAGGCAGTAAACATCGCGGCTTATATTAGAAATAGGTGTCCCACAAAGCAGCTGGAAAACAAAACGCCGTATGAAGAATGGTGTGGAAGAAAGACTAGCGTTCAACATTTCAGGATTTTTGGAGCATGTGCTGTGGCCTTAGATAAGTCTGGGAATTAATCCAAATTCGATGCCAAAGGCAGGCGATATATAATAGTTGGATATTCATCGACAGCTAAGGCATACCGTCTGTATGATGCGAATAAAAATAAAGTCATCAAATGCCGGAATGTGCTATTTGATGAAAATCGTTTTGGTAAATGCAGTGAGACATCTGATGATGAAGGATCTTCCACGAGTGATACACTTTTTGATTATATTCTGCAAGACAAAATTGAATCCGATGGTAATTAAACAGACAATAATTTACATCGGATGGTGGAAATGCAGTGTATTCCGAGGATGATATGAGTGACTTCGAAGGGTTCGAAACAGCTGAAAATGAAAGTAAATCCAGAGATGAGGAAATTGGTGCTGCACAGGATTTGCCGAAGAAGTTTGGTGCAGGTAGGCCTAAAATTATTCGCAAGGGAAAGCTTGGTCGTACACGAAAGCAACGTAATGAGGTCCTTTGTCATGCTGTTGACGGTGGAGCAGGCATTATCTGGTAATAATGGAAACAAATGGTTAAAGGCAAAGGAAGATGAATACCGTGCTCTTTGCAAGAATAAGACTTGGTCGCTGGTGGATCTTCCTAGAGAACAAAAATCTATTCCATGTATGTGGGTCTATGCCATAAAAAGGAATGTAAATGGTGTCACCAAAGGCTTCAACAAGATATATTCACCTGTCGCTCGCTACTCAACAATTCGAATTTTATTGGCACTCGTTATTTGCTTGCAAAAACCAAAATGAGTAATTGTTCGTTTTTTCGACGAACGAATGGTCATTTTACATTAACAAAAACAGGCTGTTAAATCCAAATTTACTGATCTAATTTCGCACCGTTGGAGGTGTAACACGAATTCCAAATTCGTCTTTCCAAACTTACAGCCGATTGTACGCCACTTACAGAAGGATCGATCGATTTTACGTCGTAGAAATGAACAGTGTCTTCTTGAGAACTTGGAATGGTTTAAATTTTGTCCGCATTTTTTATAATTTGCCACTTTTTTTAACTGGATACGATATATTATATTGTAGAAACAATGCACGTTATTATAATTGCAATCTCCCGTAAAGATGTTATAACAATGTGTAAATCTATTACAATTTTCATTGTTCGTCTGAAAGTTCACTTGATTTTCTAAACATCGATTTTCCGAACTTTTTATGTATATAATCGCCTCCATATAAAGGAATTTTGGTCATTCATTTTGTATTCTCATTGGGTAGGAAATCTTCCTACCAAAAATTATCAACATACGCCCAATTTTAATAATAGCTTCCGCAGATTCCGTTTCCAAAATGTCGGTATTTTGCTTAAGTTTTCTTTCCAAATTTGCTGCAATTTATTCAACGGAATTAGATATTTTTCATATTTTATGCTTTCATTGGGTGTGAAATTTCCACAAATCGATTTAAAGTATTTTTAATAAAAGGTCGGACTATTTATAGGTTGTGAATTTTGGCTTTGTAAACGTAGTGTTATAAATTTTATTATAATAATATTCACCATCCACAGTGTGGTGTGTATAAACCACATATGTAGGAAATTCCAATCTCACCACCGGACAATGTATATTGAATCGTTCTCGAATACAGATGGCGCTTGTCAGCAGAATGTACCTAAGACATGCACCACGAACTCTTATTACAAGCATAATTCGTATCATACAAGTCGTACAACTAAAATGGAGGTTGTATTAATTCGAACACCCCGCAACACAAAATGTTGGTTATATTATTTAAAAACCCCTATTCTTGATCCTAATAATATGTTATATTCATGACATTGATGCAATTCTGTTTCATGTTGAAAATTGCATATGGCGGCCCAGTATTTACGGTAGCCCCCCAATATTCGGATTTTTTAAGCTTTGGGGCACGTTTTTCAATATGCATTTAGTATTTTGGGTTGTCACTGTGTAAAAAAATATCAGTTTCAAAAATTATCAATATTGGCCCATGTTTTGGGGATAGTTCTCATATAACGGTACCTTCCGAATTTCAGAATTTTGTAGAATTTAAGCACGTTTTGCAACCGAATTCACTCTTCTTTAATATTTTAGATTCTCATTGGGCAGAAAAAAACCTGCTTACCAAATATCAATCAATATTGGTCCATGTTTCGGGATATGTCTCTTAGAGCGGATATCCCTCAATATTCGGCACTTTAAAGCATTTTGGGATTGTCTAATTGTATATTAGGGATTCTCCGTGAGGAGAAAATCCCCCTAACAAAAATTATCAATATTGGCCGAAGCTTTGGGGTAGGCTCAATACAATTACGTAAGATGTTGATGGTCACTTTTGCTTTTATCCCCAAATCTACGGGTCTATTTAGTGCTGCACTTCGGGAAAGTCGTGCTGGAGGTGGTTTATATCCAAATCGAGAGTAGAGTTTTTGCATGGTTGTATTACAACCGGATGACTGACCCATAGAAAGACAGGTGTTTAAGACGGACTCCGCTCTTCATCCAAGGAAGTGATCAGGACCAAATACATACGATCGTTTGGTATCTCATTTAAAGGTCCCTCCCCCAGCCCAGTTTTCAGCCGAATTTTCTCACCGATCGATTGGCTATAAATTGGTACATCGGATTCTTGGTGAATAAAGAGACGCCTATCCACACTTTCCACAAAGATAGTTACCGATTCAACGATCTCTGCATCCAAACTTTTAATCAATGCCACTGCCTTCTAGATCGCGAAGATTTCAGCTTAGAAAACACTTGCTATCCAGCTTGTAGGTAAGCTCAAGGCCAAGCCTTTCACAATAGACGCCTGTCCCCGTACCTTCTTTCATCTTGGATCCTTCTGTATACAAAGCTAGACCATCCAGAGGAGAATTGATACGTTTCCAGCCATCTCTACTAGGGATAACGCCTTCTACATCGTCAAATCTCAGTACTGGTGATATATAGTCGCTATCAGATGATAAATGTTCTCTGCAGGAACATTTTCAAATGAAATGCATGTTTCGACCCACCATTGCGGAATTTTCCTTTCTTTTCTTGGTTTCCATCGAAGAGGGTATAAAAAATTCGATTATTGATCTTATGCTTCAATACAATGTATCCGAATTTTCCTTATACCCTAACTCATTTTTTAATAGCAGCCTATGTTTTCTTGAAATTCTATATGTCGGATTTTAAAAAACCTATTATTTCCAAAAGAACCTAATCGTAATAAAATACATTTTTATTACTTTCAGCACAACCCAAATACTACAGCAGCTCCCAGCAACAACATGCCAGTAGCACCAGCGGTACCACTACGTCATCCATTAAACGACCCTGTTCAAAACAGAAATTCGTCTATAATCGTCCCAAACCCGATGTCCTACAGAGTATACTGCAATCGAAAGCCAATCCCGCCTACAATGCTAGACGTCTCTGGTATGAACTGAATATGCCCGAGTGTACCAGTGAAATATTAGATGGGCGAATGTTGTCGACTACGATACCTGAAAGTTTGCTATGTCATAGTCGGGAGATGCGTCCTAAACGTAAGGTGCCAACAAAGAAAAAGGAACGTAAGTAACATTAGCAGACAAAAAATGTGGGTGGTCGGAATGGATGGTGACAGAAACAGCTGCTGATGAAGTTGGGAAAGTGGGATCAAAGGCAGCATCAGCAGCAGGAAAAGTTGGTCCTTAGAAATGAATTTTGTGTGTGTGTGTTGTTTTTGGCATTATTCCTCTGCGGTCGCCACCACTGCCATCATCATGAGCGCCATCTACAGAACGTTTAAAGTTCCATTGGGTGATTACCACAAATAACAACAACAAAAACAAAACAACTTCAAAACTTGTTACCTTCTTTATGCCAAAAACACTGTTTGCCATTGCTCCTCACTCCTCTCTTTTTCTATGCTTCCACTCCTTGCAGGACGTCCTTCATACATGCAAATGCGCCAGGAACGAGAAAACTTTCGCAAAAAGTTGGTAGAATTAATTGCCCGTAAAGATGATGAGGCGGCCACCACCAATGCCATAAATGATGATTCTGGTGGTGTTGGCCCCGATACCATGGACTGGGACAGTGAATTCCCCAATCAGCAGGAAAAAGAGGTGTTACGTTATTACTACTACATTAAGCATGGCATCGATACCATTCATGTATCGCCAATGAGCAAAAAAGTTTTAAACAGGTTAGCGAAGACATAGAGACACCGAGAAGGATGATGATGATGAGTTGGATGCTGGAAAATGAGTGTGCCATGCATTATTGGCATTGACTTTTATCAAAAGAGGGATCTAATGATTAGCATATAATTGGTTTCTTTTTCTTCTTTGTCTTCTTCTTTTATGTCTTCTTTTCGTTCCATTTTTTCCTGTAGAATTAAGAGTCAAATTCCGCCAGTCTTAAATAAATGGGAGGTGGCTCTGTCAGAGAATATCAATGAAATCAAATCCGATTATATCTTCTCGATGAAAAAAGCTGTGGTGGATTTTGTTTTGCAAAATTCTTTGACAAATCTAAAAAAGGATACAAAGCTGGAATTGACAAAGGAGCGAAAGGAAATCAATGCCATGTCGAATAAATGGAGATATCGGTAAGATGCTTTTGTCCCTTTTTTAGATAATAGAGAGGATAAAAGGAAAATAAAGTGGAATTTTATAAGCCTTGAAAATATTTAAAAAGCCCAAATAGTCCTTTAAAAAATCCACGCCTCTTATAGCCTTGAAAATATTTAAAAAGTGGATTAAAAAATCCTCGCCTGTTATAAGCCTTGAAAATATTTAAAAAGTCCAAATAGTCCTTTCAAAAATCCTCGCCTGTTATAAGCCTTGAAAATATTTAAAAAGTCCAAATAGTCCTTTAAAAAATCCACGCCTCTTATATGGCTTGAAAAATAGTCCTTTAAAAAATCCACGCCTCTTATATGGCTTGAAAAATAGTCCTTTAAAAAATCCACGCCTCTTATATGGCTTGAAAAATAGTCCTTTAAAAAATCCACGCCTCTTATATGGCTTGAAAAATAGTCCTTTAAAAAATCCACGCCTCTTATATGGCTTGAAAAATAGTCCTTTAAAAAATCCACGCCTCTTATATGGCTTGAAAAATAGTCCTTTAAAAAATCCACGCCTCTTATATGGCTTGAAAAATAGTCCTTTAAAAAATCCACGCCTCTTATATGGCTTGAAAAATAGTCCTTTAAAAAATCCACGCCTCTTATATGGCTTGAAAAATAGTCCTTTAAAAAATCCACGCCTCTTATATGGCTTGAAAAATAGTCCTTTAAAAAATCCACGCCTCTTATATGGCTTGAAAAATAGTCCTTTAAAAAATCCACGCCTCTTATATGGCTTGAAAAATAGTCCTTTAAAAAATCCACGCCTCTTATATGGCTTGAAAAATAGTCCTTTAAAAAATCCACGCCTCTTATATGGCTTGAAAAATAGTCCTTTAAAAAATCCACGCCTCTTATATGGCTTGAAAAATAGTCCTTTAAAAAATCCACGCCTCTTATATGGCTTGAAAAATAGTCCTTTAAAAAATCCACGCCTCTTATATGGCTTGAAAAATAGTCCTTTAAAAAATCCACGCCTCTTATATGGCTTGAAAAATAGTCCTTTAAAAAGTCCACGCCTCTTATATGGCTTGAAAAATAGTCCTTTAAAAAATCCACGCCTCTTATATGGCTTGAAAAATAGTCCTTTAAAACATCCACGCTTCTTATAAGCCTTAGAAAATAGTCCTTTAAAAAATCCACGTCTCTTATAAGCCTTAGAAAATAGTCCTTTAAAAAATCCACGTCTCTTATAAGCCTTAGAAAATAGTCCTTTAAAAAATCCACGCCTCTTATAAGCCTTGAAAAATAGTCATTTAAAAAATCCACGCCTCATATCCACCCCTCTTTCTTAGATACGATGAAAATCGTTGCCGTTTAAAGAGAACCCTATTCTGCATACATCGCTCTGTTGCCCACATCTTGGAATTGTGGAACACGAAGTACAAGGAAATCACTTTGGTGGATGCTCGAGAACTATCCAAGGTCACAACACCATTTGAGCTGTTCGAATTTGCGGTAAGTAGTTAAAAATTAATTGGGAAATAATTTTAATAATTTTTAAATTTTTATTCAGTACACTGTTGGGCGCCATGTGGACCAGGCTAAAAATATGCTGGAAAATGAATGGTATGGTGAAATACATGCAATTCTCTTGAGGGCCAGTAATCGTGGCCAATTGCCTGATGTAAGGAAAACGCGACTCATTCAACGTTTCTATAATTGTGTGGCGGCTCTAATGACCCAACAGCTGGAAGATATGTGTATACGAAGTTTAAATCGTTTTGCCGATTTTATATGTGATTATGCGGTAATTGGATTTTTTAAAAATATTTTTTCAAGGCCTAACAATGGCGTGGACTTTATTTTTTTTCATTTCAGAAATGTAATCCCGGCTTTAAAATATCTCTGATGTTGGAAGATGAGGATGTAATAGTTTTCAATCCGAACTTTTCCAAGTTCCAAAGTGAAATGGTGCGCATAATCGAATCGATTGTCTTGGCCGTGCAAAATCTCCCGAGAATTGAAAGTAAACTATATACAGATTTAAAAATATCCGATAAACTTACCCTGACTCCCGCCATACCGGAATCATTAATTGCTGAGACGCGTAATCGTATTTGTGCCCTACTCGAAGAGGAGCGTATTGGACCCGAATTGCGCTTGCAAGATTTCGATGAATATATTGATTTAATGAATGGTCGTGATGCAGAGCGTGTATCGAAATTTATTTCCGCCCAGCCGGAATTCGAAGCATTCTGTCAAATGGTTCACGAGTATCGTCAGAAGGAAGATAAAATTTCCCGAGATATATGGGGTGTTATCCGAATGGGCCTCTATGAATTTCATAGAGAAAAATTTATTGGTAACTTGGAAAGTTTCGGGAGGTATATGCAGGAGCAGTTACTCAATCATATGGTCAACGATCAGCAGAATAAAATCTCCAAATTGGGTAAGGAGTATGAGTCAATTGCCAAGAAGGCCTTGACCATACCCAAAGACACAGCGGAATTGATGAGCCTTAAGGCCTATGTCATAAACACCGAGGAGAATGTGGTGCCGGAAATGGAACAGCGTTTAAGGGTGAATATGGGTCATATTTTGTGGCTGATGGACCATACCCTGTACTCCCCATTGCAAATTAAAAACAACTCCAATACCTTCCAATGGTATCTGAAATTACCCTCGATATTTGAAGATCATCGGGTGATAATTGCCGACAAGACAATTGAATATCAGGAGTTGCTAAAGAAACGCATCGATAGTTTTCGCCGTGAACTGCAAACCTATTTTGATCAGGTTCAAACCTATGATGAATGGGGTGATATCAAACAATTGGCGAAATATAAACGGAAGGCTAATATTCTGGATAATCGTTTGGTTATGGCCATGGATACCATAGATCGTATCAACGAAGAGGAGACTTCGTATGGATGGGACCTATCACAGTACTTCATAAGGAAGAAGGCTCATGACCAGCTAAAGCCATATAAGACCCTATTCGATGCGGGTCAAGAATTTATGGATAAATATGATTTGTGGATGAATGCCCAAGTGGGAGCATTCGATCCAGATGAAATTGAAACTGAAGTGGCAAATATGTATCGGATCATTCAGAAATTGGAAAAGCAAATGGGTGATCATCCCACCACAATGGCCCTGATAAAGGATGTGAGTCGGGTTGCCAATAAAAATTTATCAAAATATTTAATTTACATATCCCTTTGCAGATCAAAGAACAAATTGAGGCCTTCCGTGAACACATGCCCATTATTTCCACATTGGGTAATCCGGGCATGAAAACACGCCACTGGGAATTGGTTTCGGAGATTATCGGTTTTCCCATCAAGGTTTCACCGGACTTGACATTAGCTCGTATCATTGAATATGGCCTGGAGGATTATGTAGGGAAATTTGAGACAATTTCCGAAAGTGCCACAAAGGAAAATAATTTGGAAAGAGCCATGGCTAAAATGGTTGCGGAATGGGAAGATATATCGTTTTCCGTATCACCATATAGGTAAGGGGAAATACATATTTGATTTTGAATGAATATTTCAACGTGTTATTTATTTTTACAGAGATACAGGCACCTATAAGCTGTCGGCCATTGATGACATTCAGGTTCTATTGGATGATCAAATTATCAAGACCCAAACCATGAAGAGTTCGCCATATATTAAACCCTTTGAAAAGGATATATTGTAAGTAAAAACTTTGAACCATATTATTTAGACCCTGAAAAAATATTCTTTAAAAAATCCACGCCTCTTGTAGACCCTGAAAAAAATATTCTTTAAAAAATCCACGCCTCTTGTAGACCCTGAAAAAAATATTCTTTAAAAAATCCACGCCTCTTGTAGATCCTGAAAAAAATATTCTTTAAAAAATCCACGCCTCTTGTAGACCCTGAAAAAAATATTCTTTAAAAAATCCACGCCTCTTGTAGACCCTGAAAAAAATATTCTTTAAAAAATCCACGCCTCTTGTAGACCCTGAAAAAAATATTCTTTAAAAAATCCACGCCTCTTGTAAACCCTGAAAAAATATTCTTTCAAAAGTAGTAAAGTCGGACGGGGCCGACTATATGATACCCTTCACCACTTTGGGTATATTCAACCGATGAATCCTAAGAGTTGTCGCATTTTTGAAGGACAAGTAAAATGAAATTGGATCCATAAACATGTCATTCTGCCACCTATACTAAATTTTTCCAACATTAGTATATGTTGCAAAAATTTAGTTACTTAATTTAAAATCGGACGGAAATAAAAAAGCTATATCAAAATCTAAACCGATTTCATCGGAACTTGTCCCAGGTTATGTTATACTAATTTCAGTATGCATATCAGAAACATTTAAGGATCTTGGTGCATCATTTATTAAAAATCGGGAGATAATATATATGGTAGCTCTATCAAAATTTGAGCCGATTTCACCAAAACTTTCCAAATTTTAGGCACTTTGATAAAGAATGATATATAGTGACTTTGGTATACCATTTAATTAAGTCGGACGAAAATATATGTGGGAGAAATATCTAAATCCGAACCGATTTTCATGAAATTCAACACGCATCGGCTTTGGTGCACTATTTACTTAAAATCGGACGAAAATATATATGGAAGCTATATCTAAATCTTAAACGATTTTCACGAAACTTGGCACACATCATTCTGGACCTAATTCAGTACTCTATGCCGAATTTCGAGCAAATCGAATGATATATAGGGACTTTGGTGCACCATTTACTTTAAATCGGACGAAACTATATAAGGGAGCTATATCTAAATCTTAACCGATTTTCTTGAAACTTAGCACACATCATTCTGGATCTAATTCAGTACTTTATGCCAAATTTCGTGCAAATCGAATCATATATAGGGACTTTGGTGCCCCATTTACCTTAAATCGGACGAACCTATATATGGGAGCTATATCTAAATCTGAACCGATTTTCTCGAAACGTGGCACACATCGTTCTGGACCTAATTCAGTACTCTGTGCCAAACTTCATGCAAATCGAAAGATATAGAGGGACTTTGGAGCCTCATTTACCTTAAATCGGACGAAACTATATATGGGAGCTGTATTTAAATCTGAACCGAGTTTCTCAAAACTTGGCACACATCGTTCTGCACCTAATTCAGTACACTATGTCAAATTTCATGCAAATCGAAGGATGTAGAGAGACTTTGTTGCCCAATTTACCTTAAATCGGACGAACCTATATATGGGAGCTATATCTAAATCTGAACCGATTTTCTCGAAACTTGGCAGACATCATTCTAGACCTAAATGATTAGGCTGTACCAATTTTCGTGCAAATCGAGAGATATATAGGGACTTTGGGGCACCATTTGCATGAAATCGGACGAAACTATATATGGGAGCTATATCTAAATCTGGACCAATTTTCTCGAAACTTGGCAGACATCACTCTAGGCTGAATTCAGTACGTTATGCCAAATTTCGTGCAAATCAAAAGATATATAGGGACTTTGGGGCACCATTTACATGAAATCGAACGAAACTATATATGGGAGCTATATGTAAATCTGGACCGATTTTTACGAAACTTGGCAGACATCATTCTAGACCTAAATGATTAGGCTGTACCAAATTTCGTGCAAATCGAAAGATATATAGGGGCCGTTTACATTAAATCGGTTAAATATATATATGGGAGCTATATCTAAATCTGAACCGATTTTTCCCAATTTCAATAGGGTTCGTCCTTGGGCCAAATAAGTGATCTATGCTAAATTTCATCCAATTCGGATTATAAATGCGACCTGTACTTTGTTTACAATTTTACATCGACAGACAGACGGACGGACGGACATGCATAAATCGACTCAGAAAGTGATTCTATGCATATTCTCAAAAGGAACCATGTGTCTATCTCGTTTCCTTTTGCCTGTTACAAACATATGCACAAAGACATAATACCCTGTACCACAGAGTGGTGAAGGGTATAAAAATCCACGCCTCTTGTAGACCCACGCCTTAGTTGGACCCTGAAAAATGGTAAAAAATGGTTAATGGTATCCTTTCTGCTTCCAGAAAATGGGAAGCCAAGTTAATTTTATTGCAAGACATATTGGACGATTGGTTACGTGTCCAAGCCACCTGGATGTATTTGGAACCAATATTCTCTAGCCCCGATATTCAACAACAAATGCCCGAGGAGGGTAGACGGTTCAGCGCCGTGGATAAGGTATGAATTCGACTCGGATCCGAATGTCAAAAATCTCTAATTTGATACTCCTTTTCAGATCTGGAAAGAATTAATGAAACAAGTCAATGCCGATTGCCGGGTCATGGCCGTGGTGGAAATTGACAAAATGTCGGAGAAATTGAAAAAGGCCTTCAATCTATTGGAAATCATACAAAAGGGTCTGAATGCCTATCTGGAAAAGAAACGTTTATATTTCCCGCGATTCTTTTTCCTATCCAATGATGAGCTGCTGGAAATCCTATCCGAAACTAAAGATCCGACAAGGGTGCAGCCACATTTGAAAAAATGCTTCGAGGGTATTGCAACTCTCAAATTTACGGAAGAGCTGGAAGTTACAATAATGCGTTCATCGGAACGTGAAGAGGTTGAACTTGTCGATATTATATCGACAGCTAAGGCCCGAGGTCAAGTGGAGAAATGGCTTTTGGAATTAGAGTTGGACATGAAGAAAAGTATTCACAAGAAAATGAGTGAAGCATTCTATAGTTATCCGAATAGTGTTCGGCATGAATGGGTCCTGATATGGCCGGGCCAGTGTGTCCAATCGATATCGTTGACCTATTGGACTTTAAATATAACCGAATGTTTTATGTCCGACGATCCGTGTGGAAATTTGGAAAAATATTTGGAAACAAATGTTACGCAGGTAGGTGAATGGTAGGGGGTAAAAAGTGAGGGGCGAACAGAAAAATCTCTCAAGAAATTTTCAAATTTGAAGGAGGATAGAAATGGGGAATTTATATGTCCAATTTCTATGTTGAAGGCCGTTCCGCACTTCTAGAAGTGTATATTCCTGCCTATTTTTTTATTCCGCATTTAATACTTCTTTCAGATCAATCGCATTGTGGATTTGGTCAGAGGTGATTTGAGTGCCCAAAATCGCATTACGCTGGGTGCCTTGGTGGTATTGGATGTTCATGCCCGTGATGTCTTGGCCGAGATTGTGGAGAAAAAAGTATCCGAACTCAATGATTTTCAGTGGCTGTGTCAGGTGAGTCTTTACCCTTTCCTTAATCCATAAATTTGTCAATCAGAACTAAATCCCCTTTCTCTCCCCACCCAGCTTCGATACTATTGGGAGGACAACAATTTGGATACGCGGATGATAAATTGTTCCCTAAAATATGGTTATGAATATTTGGGAAATACCACGCGGTTGGTTGTAACACCTCTGACAGATCGTTGTTATCGAACTCTCTTTAGTGCTCTCCATTTACATTTGGGTGGTGCACCGGAAGGCCCGGCTGGTACTGGTAAAACTGAGACAACAAAAGATTTAGCCAAGGCTGTGGCCAAACAATGTGTTGTCTTTAATTGTTCCGATGGTTTGGATTATATTGCCCTGGGGAAATTCTTTAAGGGTTTGGCTTCATGTGGTGCCTGGTCATGTTTTGATGAATTTAATCGTATCGATTTGGAGGTGCTATCGGTGGTGGCCCAACAAATCCTCACCATACAACGGGGTATTAATTCAGGAAGTCCAACATTGGTATTTGAAGGTACCACCCTCACCTTGGATCCCACGTGTGCGGTATTTATTACCATGAATCCTGGTTATGCAGGGCGATCGGAATTGCCGGATAATTTGAAGGTAAGTCTAGGACAAAAATTATATCAAAGACAAAAATTAAAACCCGATTTCTCTTCTTTTTCAGGCCCTCTTCCGTTCTGTGGCCATGATGGTACCCGATTATGCCCTGATTTCAGAAATTGAGTTATATTCCTATGGCTTCTTGACCGCCAAACCATTATCGGTAAAAATTGTGGCCACCTATCGTTTGTGTTCGGAACAATTGAGTACCCAATGCCATTATGATTATGGTATGCGGGCCGTAAAATCGGTTCTCAAAGCTGCAGGTGCTCTGAAATTACGTTATCGCGATGAAAATGAAGATATTTTAGTCTTACGTTCGATAAAAGATGTCAATTTACCGAAATTCTTAAATCAAGATGTCCCCTTGTTCCAAGGTATAACTTCGGATTTGTTCCCAGGAACTGTATTGCCAGAGGCAGATTATGTCATCTTCAATGAATGCTGTCGCGAGGCATGCGAACGTAATAATAAACAATGTACCGATTTCTTTTTGGAAAAGGTGCAACAGTTGTATGAAATGATTGTTGTACGGCATGGTTTGATGCTGGTCGGTTTGCCGTTTGGTGGTAAGACGACGTGTTATCGGATATTGGCGGAAACTTTGGAGAATATGGAGAAAAGGGTAGGATTTGTTTTGATGCAATTTTTTGTGGATTTAAATATAAGGTTTCTATGTCACATAGATAACGTAGATAACATGTAGATAATTTACGTGATGTAGATAAATTATCTGAGTCTTCAAGATGTCGAAGATAATGTATCGATTTCTATGCAATTTAAATTTCATAGATAATGCTATTTAGAAGTAGTAGATAATTTATCTATGCCATTTAAATGTCGTAGATAATTTATCGTTTGAAAAATACGTCCCCCATCTTTCTCGCCCAATATTTTCTAATTCAATTCTATTTTTTTTGCAGAACGCCGGAGAAAATCGTGCAATTTACACCATCATCAATCCCAAGGCCATTACCATGGGTCAATTGTATGGCCAATTTGATGCTGTCTCCCATGAATGGAGTGATGGCGTGCTGGCCGTAAGCTATCGACAATTTGCTGTCTCTGAGACACCCGACCGCAAATGGCTAATATTTGATGGTCCGGTCGATGCTATTTGGATTGAAAATATGAACACGGTACTGGATGATAATAAGAAACTGTGTCTAATGTCCGGAGAAATTATACAGCTGTCGCCCACAACAAATCTAATATTTGAACCAATGGATTTGGAGGTGGCTTCACCGGCCACAGTGTCGCGATGTGGTATGATCTATATGGAACCTTCATCGCTGGGTTGGGAACCTTTGGTGACATCGTGGAAAAATCGTTTGCCTGCCAGTTTCCATGCTGTGGCCAAGCAATTGGTGTCGTCTCTCATCAAGCGGTTCTGTCCAATTTTGCTGTATATTGTAAGGAAAGCTTCGTTGGTGGAAATTGCCCCCACTTCGGATGCCAATTTAATGGTGGCCTTGATGAATCTTTTCGATTGTTTCTTGGATGATTTTAAGGATGAGAAATATGTCCAGAATCTATCCGATTTGGATATGAGGGCCCAAATCGAGGGAGTGTTTTTGTTTTCCTGCATTTGGTCCATTGGTGCCTCTTTGGACTCGAATAGTCGTGAGAAATTCAATTTGGTTTTTCGCGGCCTTATGGAAAAGAATTTCCCCGAGAATTTGTATGAAACGTTTGGCATCCCGGAGGAGTTACATGTTCCAGCATTGCCCAAGCCTTTTATTTTCCCCATACCCAAACAGGGTTCGGTGTTCGATTATCGTTTCATTAAGGAGGGTAAAGGTAAATGGAAGCCATGGCAGGATGATGTGGCCGCCGCTCCGGCCATAAGTCGTGATATACCCGTAAATCAAATTATTATTGTGACCAATGAAAATGTCCGATCCACAGCGGTTTTGGATTTACTTGTGCGACATGGAAAGCCCGTATTATTTGTGGGACCCACCGGTACCGGAAAGAGTTGTTATATTATCGATTATATGCTGAAGAAAATGGATTTGTCCGTCTACAAGCCTTTGCTAATTAATTTTTCCGCCCAGACTTCGGCGAATCAGACTCAGGATATAATTATGTCGAAATTGGATAAGAGACGCAAGGGTGTCTATGGTCCACCGTTAAATAAGCGATTTGTCATATTTGTCGATGATGTTTCAATGCCATTGAAAGAGAATTATGGCGCCCAACCTGCAATTGAGTTGCTGCGTATGATGATGGATCATTGGATGTGGTATGATCGGAAGGCAATTGTCCCACTGAAATTAATCGATATACAAATGATATGTGCCATGGGGCCGCCATCGACGGGTAACACCATTACACCACGTTTCCAGCGGCATTTTAATGTGGTGGCCATTGATGAATTTAATGATGATATTCTGAAGACGATTTTTAGTAAAATAATCCTGTGGCATTTGGATACGAGGTAAGACCCAAAACCTGTCTCATTTAAATGGGAAATATAACAATTTCTTTTATATCCCTACAGAGGCTTCTCCAAAGAATTTGATCCCTGCATCGAAGAAATAGTCAATGCCACCTTGACAATTTACAATAAGGCCAAAATGAATCTGCTACCCACACCAGCGAAATCCCATTATCTCTTCAATTTACGTGACTTCTCTCGGGTGATACAGGGAGTTTTACTTTCCGTTCCCGAAGCCACAGAAGATCTTAATTCCATGAGACGACTTTGGGTCCATGAAGTATTTCGCGTATACGGTGATCGCCTTGTAGAAGACTCCGATCGCAGTTGGCTGTTCACCGCTCTCTGTGAACAAATGCGCAACAGTTTCGCCATCGAACCTGAAGTCATCTTCGAACGTTTCGTTCAAAAGGGTGAAAAACTAACCGAATCAGATTTTCGTAATTTAATCTTTTGTGATTTTACCAATCCCAAAGCCGATACGAAAAATTACATTGAAGTACAAGATTTAGACGAGTTACGCAATGTGGTCGAATCGTATTTGGTCGAATACAACAACATGTCCAAAAAGCCAATGAATTTGGTATTGTTTCGTTTTGCCGTGGAACATTTGTCGAGAATTTGTCGCATTATAAAGCAGCCACGTAGTCATGCTCTACTTATCGGTGTCGGTGGCTCCGGACGTCAGAGCTTGACTCGTTTGGCTTCGCATATATGTGACTATGAATTGTTTCAAGTTGAAATATCTCGATCATATGGACCGAATGAATGGCATGAAGATATCAAGGGTATATTGCGTAAGATCAGTTCGTCGGAAATGCATGGGGTGTTCTTGTTTACAGATGTTCAGGTAATGTAGATATGTGTGTGTGTGTGTCAAAACATTATTTTGGAGGTATTGGGAATGTACGGACCTCAAATTAGTATTTTGTGTTCGTTCCGCAACAACATTGTGATGTTGTTTTTTGTATACAGTCTGTTAAAAGTATATAAAATATATAGATATATGATATAGATAACATAGATATTTTATCTATATCATTTAGATAACTTAGATAATGTGGCTTAGATCATTTATATGTGTCAGTTAGATAACAAAGATAATATATCAATGTTATAGGTAATGTATCTACATCATTGAGATGTCATAGATAATGAATCTATGTCATTGCGATATCATATAGATAATATATCTATGCAATTTAAATGTCATGGATAATGTATCTAAGCCATTTATATTTTATAGATAATTTATATCATAGACAATGTATCATAGACAATGTATCTAAGTCGTTTAGATATCATAGATAATGTATCTAAGTCATTTAGATGTCATAGATAATGTATCTTAATCATTTAGATATCATAGATAATTTATCTAAGCCATTTAGGTAACATGGATAATTTATCTAAGCCATTTTGGGTAGCGGTGATAATACATCGACGCCATTTAAATGCATAGATAATGTATCTACATGATTTAGGGTAAATTATCTTTTATCTATGAAATGTATTTTTTAATCGATTTTAAAATTTTCCCATTTCCAATATTGGAAAAACCGAATCATATTTTTATCTCGACACAATCAATTTACAATTTTATCTACTTCAGATAAAAGATGAATCCTTCTTGGAGGATATCAACAATTTATTGAATTCGGGTGAAGTTCCGAACTTGTTTAGCAATGAAGAGAAAATGGAAGTTGTCGAGAAGATGGCTCAAATCGATAAGCAACGGGACAAGGCAGTGCAGACGGATGGCAGTCCGGTGGCCTTGTTTAATTTCTTTGTAACGGTAAGTCCACAATTGAACCTGAACAAATAATCAATTATTAATTTCGAATTTTCCCTCTTCCAGACTTGTAAAGATCAGTTGCATGTAGTCCTGGCCATGTCACCCATTGGCGAGGCTTTAAGGATAAGGATACGTAAATTTCCCTCCATTGTGAACTGCTGTACAATTGATTGGTTCCAGGCATGGCCAGAGGATGCTTTGTTGGCAGTGTCCACCAGGTTTTTGGCCCAGGAGGATCTAACAGATTTGGAGCGTCGTGCAGCCATAGATATGTGCATGGAATTCCATACCTCCACTCAGGCTCTATCGGAGGCTTTTTATTTGAGGCTAAAGCGGCATAATTATGTCACACCAACTTCCTATTTGGAATTGATACAGACTTTCAAGACGTTGCTGAACAAGAAAAGGGCGTAAGTGGGGGGGGGGGGGGGGAGGGGTGAAGAGAGAACAAAGGAGATACAAATTTAATTTTTTCCAGATCTGTCATGCTCAACAAAAATCGCTATTTGACTGGCATATCCCAATTGGATATTGCCGCCCAGCAAGTGGGTGTGATGCAGGAACAATTGGAAGCTTTGGAACCGAAAATTAAGGCAGCAGCGGAAACCGTTGCCATACAAGTAGCCAAGGTCACGGAAGACAGCAAGGCAGCTGAGGAACAACGTGAAATTGTCAAACGAGATGAGGCAGTGGCTGCGGAACAGGCTCAATTGGCTCAGGCCATAAAGGATGAATGTGATGCAAAATTGGGCGAAGCCCTACCCATACTCAATGAGGCAATGGCTGCCCTAAATACCCTGACCACAGCCGATATTGCCGTTGTTAAGACAATGAAATCTCCTCCGGTGGGGGTGCGTATTGTCATGGAAGCTGTGTGCATTTTGAAAGAAGTTAAACCGGAACGTATTACCAATCCCAGTGGTGTGGGCATGATTGAAGATTACTGGGGTCCATCGAAGAAAGTTCTGAGTGATATTAAATTTTTGGATAGTCTTTTAAATTTCGATAAGGATAATATACCTCCAGCGGTCATAAAGAAGCTGCAGGAAAGGGTCTTAACGAATGAGGCATTTGATCCGGAAAAAATTAAGACCGCCTCCACAGCTTGTGAAGGGTTGTGTAAATGGGTTATTGCCCTAACGAAATATGATGTGGTGGCGAAAATTGTTGCCCCGAAAAAGATTGCCTTGGCCGAGGCGGAGGCTACCTATAATGTGAGTTTTCAAAATTTTAAAAATAACTTCTTAAATCCTAAATTCGATGATGTTTCTATTTTCCAGGCTGCTCAAAAAACTTTGAACGAAAAACTGGCCCAACTTGCTCGGGTCGAAGCAAATTTGGCAGCGATTCAGAAGGTGTTGGACAAGCAAATGAAGGAATATGAGTGAGTAGAGAAAATTGTTCCAAGAACTATAAGAGTGGATTTTTTAAAGAATATTTTTGAAAGGGACTTTCAGAGGCGTGGATTTTTTAAAGAATATTTTTGAAAGGGACTTTCAGAGGCGTGGATTTTTTTAAGAATATTTTTGAAAGGGACTTTCAGAGGCGTGGATTTTTTAAAGAATATTTTTGAAAGGGACTTTCAGAGGCGTGGATTTTTTAAAGAATATTTTTGAAAGGGACTTTCAGAGGCGTGGATTTTTTAAAGAATATTTTTGAAAGGGGCTTTCAGAGGCGTGGATTTTTTAAAGAATATTTTTGAAAGGGACTTTCAGAGGCGTGGATTTTTTACAGAATATTTGTGAAAGGGACTTTCAGAGGCGTGGATTTTTTAAAGAATATTTGTGAAAGGGACTTTCAGAGGCGTGGATTTTTTAAAGAATATTTTTGAAAGGGACTTTCAGAGGCGTGGATTTTTTAAAGAATATTTTTGAAAGGGACTTTCAGAGGCGTGGATTTGTTAAAGAATATTTTTGAAAGGGACTTTCAGAGGCGTGGATTTTTTAAAGAATATTTTTGAAAGGGACTTTCAGAGGCGTGGATTTTTTTAAGAATATTTTTGAAAGGGACTTTCAGAGGCGTGGATTTGTTAAAGAATATTTTTGAAAGGGACTTTCAGAGGCGTGGATTTTTTAAAGAATATTTTTGAAAGGGACTTTCAGAGGCGTGGATTTTTTAAAGAATATTTTTGAAAGGGACTTTCAGAGGCGTGGATTTTTTAAAGAATATTTTTGAAAGGGACTTTCAGAGGCGTGGATTTTTTTAAGAATATTTTTGAAAGGGACTTTCAGAGGCGTGGATTTTTTAAAGAATATTTTTGAAAGGGACTTTCAGAGGCGTGGATTTTTTAAAGAATATTTTTGAAAGGGACTTTCAGAGGCGTGGATTTTGTAAAGAATATTTTTGAAAGGGACTTTCAGCGCCGTGGATTTTTTAAAGAATATTTTTTCAAGGGACTTTCAGCGCCGTGGATTTTTTAAAGAATATTTTTTCAAGGGACTTTCAGCGCCGTGGATTTTTTAAAGAATATTTTTTCAAGGGACTTTCAGCGGCGTGGATTTTTTAAAGAATATTTTTTCAAGGGACTTTCAGCGGCGTGGATTTTTTAAAGAATATTTTTTCAAGGGACTTTCAGAGGCGTGGATTTTTTAAAGAATATTTTTGAAAGGGACTTTCAGAGGCGTGGATTTGTTAAAGAATATTTTTGAAAGGGACTTTCAGAGGCGTGGATTTTTTAAAGAATATTTTTTCAAGGGACTTTCAGCGCCGTGGATTTTTTAAAGAATATTTTTTCAAGGGACTTTCAGCGCCGTGGATTTTTTAAAGAATATTTTTGAAAGGGACTTTCAGAGGCGTGGATTTTTTAAAGAATATTTTTGAAAGGGACTTTCAGAGGCGTGGATTTTTTAAAGAATATTTTTGAAAGGGGCTTTCAGAGGCGTGGATTTTTTAAAGAATATTTTTGAAAGGGACTTTCAGAGGCGTGGATTTTTTACAGAATATTTGTGAAAGGGACTTTCAGAGGCGTGGATTTTTTAAAGAATATTTGTGAAAGGGACTTTCAGAGGCGTGGATTTTTTAAAGAATATTTTTGAAAGGGACTTTCAGAGGCGTGGATTTTTTAAAGAATATTTTTGAAAGGGACTTTCAGAGGCGTGGATTTGTTAAAGAATATTTTTGAAAGGGACTTTCAGAGGCGAGGATTTTTTAAAGAATATTTTTGAAAGGGACTTTCAGAGGCGTGGATTTTTTTAAGAATATTTTTGAAAGGGACTTTCAGAGGCGTGGATTTGTTAAAGAATATTTTTGAAAGGGACTTTCAGAGGCGTGGATTTTTTAAAGAATATTTTTGAAAGGGACTTTCAGAGGCGTGGATTTTTTAAAGAATATTTTTGAAAGGGACTTTCAGAGGCGTGGATTTTTTAAAGAATATTTTTGAAAGGGACTTTCAGAGGCGTGGATTTTTTTAAGAATATTTTTGAAAGGGACTTTCAGAGGCGTGGATTTTTTAAAGAATATTTTTTCAAGGGACTTTCAGAGGCGTGGATTTTTTAAAGAATATTTTTGAAAGGGACTTTCAGAGGCGTGGATTTTGTAAAGAATATTTTTGAAAGGGACTTTCAGCGCCGTGGATTTTTTAAAGAATATTTTTTCAAGGGACTTTCAGCGCCGTGGATTTTTTAAAGAATATTTTTTCAAGGGACTTTCAGCGCCGTGGATTTTTTAAAGAATATTTTTTCAAGGGACTTTCAGCGGCGTGGATTTTTTAAAGAATATTTTTTCAAGGGACTTTCAGCGGCGTGGATTTTTTAAAGAATATTTTTTCAAGGGACTTTCAGCGGCGTGGATTTTTTAAAGAATATTTTTTCAAGGGACTTTCAGCGGCGTGGATTTTTTAAAGAATATTTTTTCAAGGGACTTTCAGCGGCGTGGATTTTTTAAAGAATATTTTTGAAAGGCCAATCTGCTATTGGTATTCAGTGTAATTTATTATTTTTCATTTCCCCTTCTTTCAGCATCCTCCAAGCGGAACATGAGGCTTGCACGAAAAAATTACAACGAGCGCAGGATCTTATCTCCGGCTTGGGTGGTGAACGCACCCGATGGTCAGAGACCGCCAAACAGCTGGGACGCATTTACAATACCCTTACCGGAGATGTGCTAATATCCTCCGGTGTTGTCTCCTATTTAGGACCATTTACCATTGAATATCGTGTCGAGCAGACCCGTAAATGGGCTGAAAAATGTGCCAGCTTTGGTATTGTCTGTAGTCAAGATTTCCAATTGGTCAATGTACTGGGTGAACCCGTTGAAATACGTAATTGGAATATATGCGGCCTACCCACTGATTCCTTTTCCATTGAGAGTGCCATTATGATGCAGTAAGTACAATAACAACAATAGCAACAAAATAGATATCCTTTGAATACAAAACAAAATCCCTTGGGGCTATTTATTAAGGGCTGAAAAACAAGAATGGGATAAAAATGTAATATGAGACCAGATAACATCAATTACAGAGAATACACAACAGTTGGGATGCAGTGAACAGAAAAAACGCAACAACAACAACAAAACAAACTTCAAATAAGAATGTTTTCAGGCGTTTTTTCGTTTTTGTAGAGTCTGTCATTATTAAATTTCCCAACGCTAATCCCTTTTCTGCAGAACGTTTACATCAAAAGCAACACATCCCGGGCTTGGTGGTGGGAGTTATGCACACACAACTACCACCACCCACCCTTCGAATCCGTTTTTTCTATTTCCACAACTACTCCTTGTTGTAGTGAAGGTTAGACACCTCTTTTGCTAAAAATCGCTCATACCCTCCGCCACCTCTTGCCCGCCTTCTCGGTTTTGGCATTTAATTATAGAAGTTTTCCATTCGCTGCTAGTATTTGCAGCATCATCTTAAGCCAACAACAGCAACAACAACAAGAAAAATTAATTACATTTACATTACAAGATATTTTAATTACAGAGCTTCTTAACGCACCGCACACCGAACGCTAATGTGCAGCAAGCAAGTAAGGATAATAAAGGACCTCGGCCACCACCATCATGGCCACTATAATAAAAATACCTTTTTATTAGTATTGTTGTTGTAATGCTTGTTGTTGAGTCTGTTGTTCTTACACATTTTCTCAATGAGCTGAAATTTAAATAGTATTCCGCTCAAGTTAACCTTCGTTTCGATTTTCTCTACGTTGGACATTGCATTGGATTGGATTTTTAAAAGAATAATTTTTCCAAGGACTAAAATAGGCGTGGATTTTTTAAAGAATATTTTTGAAGAGGACTGTAGGAGGCGTGGATTTTTTAAAGAATATTTTTGAAAGGGACTTTCAGAGGCGTGGATTTTTTAAAGAATATTTTTGAAAGGGACTTTCAGAGGCGTGGATTTTTTAAAGAATATTTTTGAAAGGGACTTTCAGAGGCGTGGATTTTTTAAAGAATATTTTTGAAAGGGACTTTCAGAGGCGTGGATTTTTTAAAGAATATTTTTGAAAGGGACTTTCAGAGGCGTGGATTTTTTAAAGAATATTTTTGAAAGGGACTTTCAGAGGCGTGGATTTTTTAAAGAATATTTTTGAAAGGGACTTTCAGAGGCGTGGATTTTTTAAAGAATATTTTTGAAAGGGACTTTCAGAGGCGTGGATTTTTTAAAGAATATTTTTGAAAGGGACTTTCAGAGGCGTGGATTTTTTAAAGAATATTTTTGAAAGGGACTTTCAGAGGCGTGGATTTTTTAAAGAATATTTTTGAAAGGGACTTTCAGAGGCGTGGATTTTTTAAAGAATATTTTTGAAAGGGACAAACGCAAGGCGTGGATTTTTTAAAGAATATTTTTGAAAGGGACAAACGCAAGGCGTGGATTTTTTAAAGAATATTTTTGAAAGGGACAAACGCAAGGCGTGGATTTTTTAAAGAATATTTTTGAAAGGGACATTCAGAGGCGTGGATTTTTTAAAGAATATTTTTGAAAGGGACTTTCACAGGCGTGGATTTTTTAAAGAATATTTTTGAAAGGGACCAACCACACAAGGCGTTGATTTTTTAAAGTATATTTTTGAAAGGGACCCAACCACAAAAGGCGTGGATTTTTTAAAGAATATTTTTGAAAGGGACTTTCCACACAAGGCGTGGATTTTTTAAAGAATATTTTTGAAAGGGACTTTCCACACAAGGCGTGGATTTTTTAAAGAATATTTTTGAAAGGGACTTTCACACAAGGCGTGGATTTTTTAAAGAATATTTTTGAAAGGGACTTTCACACAAGGCGTGGATTTTTTAAAGAATATTTTTGAAAGGGACTTTCAACCACACAAGGCGTGGATTTTTTAAAGAATATTTTTGAAAGGGACTTTCCACACAAGGCGTGGATTTTTTAAAGAATATTTTTGAAAGGGACTTTCAGACAAGGCGTGGATTTTTTAAAGAATATTTTTGAAAGGGACTTTCAGACACAAGGCGTGGATTTTTTAAAGAATATTTTTGAAAGGGACTTTCAGACACAAGGCGTGGATTTTTTAAAGAATATTTTTGAAAGGGACTTTCACACAAGGCGTGGATTTTTTAAAGAATATTTTTGAAAGGGACTTTCCACACAAGGCGTGGATTTTTTAAAGAATATTTTTGAAAGGGACTTTCACACAAGGCGTGGATTTTTTAAAGAATATTTTTGAAAGGGACTTTCCACACAAGGCGTGGATTTTTTAAAGAATATTTTTGAAAGGGACTTTCACACAAGGCGTGGATTTTTTAAAGAATATTTTTGAAAGGGACTTTCACACAAGGCGTGGATTTTTTAAAGAATATTTTTGAAAGGGACTTTCACACAAGGCGTGGATTTTTTAAAGAATATTTTTGAAAGGGACTTTCACACAAGGCGTGGATTTTTTAAAGAATATTTTTGAAAGGGACTTTCACACAAGGCGTGGATTTTTTAAAGAATATTTTTGAAAGGGACTTTCCACACAAGGCGTGGATTTTTTAAAGAATATTTTTGAAAGGGACTTTCACACAAGGCGTGGATTTTTTAAAGAATATTTTTGAAAGGGACTTTCACACAAGGCGTGGATTTTTTAAAGAATATTTTTGAAAGGGACTTTCAACCACACAAGGCGTGGATTTTTTAAAGAATATTTTTGAAAGGGACTTTCACACAAGGCGTGGATTTTTTAAAGAATATTTTTGAAAGGGACTTTCCACACAAGGCGTGGATTTTTTAAAGAATATTTTTGAAAGGGACTTTCACAAGGCGTGGATTTTTTAAAGAATATTTTTGAAAGGGACTTTCACACAAGGCGTTGATTTTTTAAAGAATATTTTTGAAAGGGACAAACGCAAGGCGTGGATTTTTTAAAGAATATTTTTGAAAGGGACAAACATAAGGCGTGGATTTTTTAAACAATATTTTTGAAAGGGACAAACAGAAGGCGTGGATTTTTTTAAAGAATATTTTTGAAAGGGACAAACATAAGGCGTGGATTTTTTAAAGAATATTTTTGAAAGGGACGGCGTGGATTTTTTAAAGACTATTTTTGAAAGGGATACAAGGATCATCCAACAAAGCGTGGATTTTTTAAAGAATATTTTTGAAAGGGACTTTCAGAGGCGTGGATTTTTTAAAGAATATTTTTGAAAGGGACTTTCAGAGGCGTGGATTTTTTAAAGAATATTTTTGAAAGGGACTTTCAGAGGCGTGGATTTTTTAAAGAATATTTTTGAAAGGGACTTTCAGAGGCGTGGATTTTTTAAAGAATATTTTTGAAAGGGACTTTCAGAGGCGTGGATTTTTTAAAGAATATTTTTGAAAGGGACTTTCAGAGGCGTGGATTTTTTAAAGAATATTTTTGAAAGGGACTTTCAGAGGCGTGGATTTTTTAAAGAATATTTTTGAAAGGGACTTTCAGAGGCGTGGATTTTTTAAAGAATATTTTTGAAGAGGACTATAAGAGGCGTGGACTTTGTGAAGAATATTTTTGAAGAGGACTATAAGAGGCGTGGACTTTTTAAAGAATATTTTTGAAGAGGACTATAAGAGGCGTGGATTTTTTAAAGAATATTTTTGAAGAGGACTATAAGAGGCGTGGACTTTTTAAAGAATATTTTTGAAGAGGACTATAAGAGGCGTGGACTTTTTAAAGAATATTTTTGAAGAGGACTATAAGAGGCGTGGACTTTTTAAAGAATATTTTTGAAGAGGACTATAAGAGGCGATTCACATTTATATATAGCTCCCATATATATTTTCGTCCGATTTTATGTAAATGGTTCCGGGAAGTCCCTATATAATTTTCGATTTGCACGAAATTTTCCATAGGGTACTAAATTGAGTTTTGAATGATGTGTGTCAAGTTTTGAAAGAATCGGTTCAGATTAAAATATTACTCCAATATATATTTTCTTCCGATTAAAGGCAAATGGGGCACCAAAGACCCTATATGTCTTTCGATTTACACGAAATTTGGCATAGGGTACTGAATTAGATCCCGAATGATGTGTGCTAAGTTTCGTGAAAATCGGTTCAGATTTAGATATAACTCCCGTAAATATTTTTATCCGATTTTTTGAAAATGGTGCACCAGCGCTCCTATATAACTTTCGATTTGAACGAAATTTTGCATAGTGTACTGAATTGAGTCTTGAATGATGTGTGTTAAGTTTCGAGAAAATCGGTTCAGATTTAGATATAGCTCCCATTTATAGTTTCGTCCGATGTTATGTAAATGTAAATGTTTGCACGAAATTTGGCATAGGGTACTGAATTAGGTCGAGAATGTTGTGTACTAAGTTTCGTGAAAATTGGTTCAGATTTAGTTATAGCTCCATATATATTTTCGTCCTATTTAATGTAAATTGATTGACGCAACGTACTGAAATTAGTATTCCTTCGAAGACGTATGTTAGGATACATATGTAGAATATGCCCAAAGTGGTGATGGGTATCATATAGTCGGCCCAGTCCGATTTTACTACTTTCCTTACTGGTTAAAATAATACTTTTTAAGGGACTATAAGAGGCGTGGATTTTTGGAATAATATCTTTTCAAAATATCAAAATGTTTATATTAAAACTATTTACCAATTCCACCTTCCCATCTCTGTAGCGAATATGTCAGTTATGTTTTATTTTTATTAGACAAGTGATATTTAATATGAGTGTATGTATTTACGGTAATTACGATAAAATGAAAAACTTTACGAGCTCTCTTTTATGTTTTGTTTTTTGTGTTCACGACATTTTAATGCTAACGAACATGATGGGGTGACAGCGATAGCAACAACAACAACAACAATAATCGAGTAAAAAATGTAACAACAAAAGTTCATCATCAAAGTATACACACGAAGTCGAAGAATGTTCGTTTAAATTTTA